ATATATATTAATTCAAACAGACTCCAAGGGCCAGCCAGATAGCTCAGCATATTAAAGTACCTGCTTAGGCAGATGCAGGGACTGGGGTTAGATCCCTGGCATGCCAGCCCCGCTCCTGGGACGCACTGAGAGGACAAATGAGACTGGGTGTGGTGGCACACACCTGTGATCCCAGCACTTGGGAGGCTGAAAACAGAAGGATCATTACAAGTCTGATCTGTGTAGTGAGACCCTGTAGACTCTGTACTAAATACATAAAAAACAAACGAAAAATAAACAGACTCCAAAATTATACACTTCCACTTACATAGCAAAAGACCTTTCCTTTAGTTAAGTGGAGGTTTTCAAAAGCACATCAAGGGGCCGGGGAGATGGCTCAGTGGAATAAGTGCTTCCCTGGCAAGCGCAAGGGCTTAAATTCAATCCCTGGTTCCGAAAAAAAGAGAACATCAAGCACAAAAACAGATGGGAACACTCCAAATAGGACATTTTGGAGGGGCCGGGGAGATAGCTCAGTAGAATAAGAGCTTGCCAAGGGCCTGAGTTCAATCCCGGGTTCCGAAAAAAAAAAAAAAAAAAAAAGGCATTTTGGGCCACTTTCTCTAATAACATCCCATTTCTGCCACAATCGACTATTTGGTCACCAATATTAGCATCCTAGTTTGAAGAAATAGTACCTATTATAAAGCCTTAAAGACCAAACAGGTCTGTAATCTCAGCACTGGGATTCAGGAGGCAGAGGTAGGAGGATTGTCATGAGTTTGAGCCCTGTCTGGTCTACACCGGGAGTTTAAGGCCAGCAAATAGCAAGGACTAAATAGCAAGAATCTGTTTCCAAAAAATCCAAGACGTTAAATAGAATTAAGTATCTTAGCTGTATCTGCTATAGGACTAGCTGAAGAATAAAGACAAAGAGGGAATTATTCTTCAAGGGCCAGAGAGATAACTCAGCAATCTAAGTGCCTGCCTGGAATTACTATACAGAAGTCACATAAAATCCCACATTTCTGATGCTTCTGGTAATTTTCTGTCTCCTGATTATGTGCAATTTCTTTTTTCTCTTCCGAATTACTTTTGTATATAATAAAGAGCAAACAAACGCCACACTGGGATGAAAGGGGAAACTGCCAGGAGTCAAGAGCAGCAAATTTCTACAAAGAAGGGTCTTTCCAAAGCCAGTGTAGATGATACAATATCACAAATGAAATGATGTCAAGCAGCAGCAGCTCCATTCTGCTTGTTAACCTCTGTAAGTCTATATTCCTACACCTCTGAAAAAAGCATCCCCACCAGATTAGCTCCCAAACTTTGAGAGCTGTCAAATATATACTTAGGTCTGTAGCATTAAATCTAGGAAAAGATTAATTAATTAATGCCTCTTAACTGAATCACTAAGCAATATCAAACTTAGATCTCACTAGGAGGTACTGTTAAAATTATATTCAGGGGCC